CCTTCTTCAGAAAATTTTCTGAAGAAGGGTCTAGGCCCGAAACGTCAGCCTTCCTGCTCCTATGATGCTGCTTGGCCTGCTGTGTTCATCCAGCTCTACGCCTTGTTGTCCCAGGAATCAGCCTAGTGAGTCTCTTTTGAACTGCCTCCAATGTCAATTATATCTTTTTTTAAAAATACAGAGACCAAAACTGTACACAGTATTCATGGTACAGCCTTACCAAGACCCTGTACAGTTGTAACAAGGATTCCCTGTTTTTAAACTCCACTCCACTCACAATAAAAGTCAAAATTCCATTGCTCATCTTAATTATGTACTGCACTTGCATGTTAACGTTTTGAGTTTCATGCACGAGAACACCCAGATCCATTTGTGCTGCATTTTCTTTTGGAATCTCGCTCCATTTAAATAATACACTGATTTTTGTTTCTTCCCACCAAATGTATGACCTCATATTTTTCTGCATTAAACAACATCTGCCAATTTCTGCCTATTCACTTAATTTATCTTTATCCTTTGCAGATTTATGTTCTCATCTATCAATATGCCCTCTCACCAATTTTGTACCATCAGCATTGCAGTCTGTCCTCTCTTCCATATTGTGGCCTTTGGTCTGTTCTTAGTGGCCCTCCCCTAGTTAAGCCTTTACAAAGATCATTAATCCCAAGTCTCTAACCTCAGTGTGTAAACCAATCCTCAATCCATGCTAATACATTACCCCCAATACCATGACCTCCTTTCTTGTGCAATAACCTTTTATGCGGTACCTTATCAAATGCCTTCTGGAAATCCAAATACACTACATTTTTCACTTTACCTTTATCAACTCTACTTGTCATATCCTCAAAGATCTCTAGAAGAATTGTCAAGCACGGTTTCCCTTTCACAAAATCGTGTTGACTTCATTTGATTCTGTTAAAACCCAGTTACTGCATTTACATTCTTTCAACCATATAAAGGCTTTCAACAACAAGCAGTTCATTTAAGTGCAGAATCCATTACAAGAAATATTGAAGTTCATTGACCCACTTTGAACATTTGATAACAACTTGTAATTGTCAATCAAACTGTGAAATGGCAGGCATTCTACTGTGACAATGGATGATTGTAGCAGTAATCTGGCAATTGCAAGCTTATGTCAATAGAGTGAAATAGCAAGCATTTTTGGAGTATATCTTTTGAAAGATATAAAGGACAGAACTTTTAAATGTCTTGACAACCTGACACTACTTTTGTCACTTCTTGATATTTTTAGTAGGTCTATTGACAGTTCCAGTGAGCTAAATTTACAGTTAATGAATGGATGTACTTTTTATGTACATTCATGCCTACATTTTAAAGTTCCAAAGGACATTTTATCTTTCCAAAAGGGATACTATCTGGCCTCCCCTAGAATATGCATATCTGCTCTTTGTAGATCTACTTTACGTACTGGGTTTCACATGTCTGGACTACCAAAATAGAACAAAAAACTGTGGATGCTGGAGATCTGTACCAAAAACAGAAATTGCTGGAGAAACTCAGTAGGTCTGACAGCTAGGAGAAAGCTACTAACAGTTCTGATAAGACTCATCAGACTCGAAACATTCACTCTGCTTTCTTCCCACAGATGATACCAGAGCTGCTGAGTTTCCAGCAATTTCTGTTTTTGTTTCTGGACGACTAAAATCTGACTTGAGTGAAGGTAGCTTTGATATTAGTAGCTAGCTGTCTTTGTGAACTGCTCATGCTGAAATGCAAACTGCTTCATTCCGGTTCCTGCAAAAATGGGAAGTGCAACATTTGGAAGTGGCATTAGCAATTTCCAGGCTAAACCACCATTTTGCTGTGATGGATGAGATACTCCAATGTCACAAAAATCCAGGTGTCTATCTCATTCTGACTCTCAACTCTCCGAGATATCTGTAATTTTCTAATTCGGGCCTCCTGTGTATTTTGATTTTAATTTTCCCACTTATGGTGGTCATACCCTCCATTGCCTCTGACCCAAGCTCTGGAATATCCTCCCAAAACCTCTCCAAATCTCAGCCTCTTCGTACCTATTTAAGACATTCCTTCAAACCTAGCACTTTGAGCATGCTTTTGATCATCTGACTGAATGTCTACTTTTGTTGGTAAAGGCATATGAGGTTGTCAGTGTCTATCTTAACAGCCAGATACAATTCAGATTAACATCTCATCCAAAAAGAACAAGAATCCCTCCCAAGGGAAGTGCTGGTGTAGTAGTAATGTCACTGGACTAGTAATCCAGAACCCCAGGCTCATGTTCTGGGGAATAAACACAAAAAATGCTGGAGAAAATCAGCAGGTCTGGCAGCATTTGTGGAGACAGAAACAGAAACACTTAATGTTTAAACTCTGATATTACCCTACCTTAGAACACAGTCTTCTTCTCTTTCCAGACCTTTGTGTTATAATCCTTTAATATAAACCAACCAGCTGTCCTTGGTTGATGGCAAGTTTATTTCTTCACAAATGCTGCCAGACCTGCTGAGTTTCTGCAGCATTTTACATGCTGTTCCCAGAACATCAGCCTGGGCGTTTCTGGTTTGACATAAATCAATCAATTTGGAAAAAAAAAGTCATTGCCTGGTGACAGTTAACCCCCACAATGCAGGCTTCTGACTCCTACTTACCTTGGCATTGGGGTCCAAAACCCAAGTGGAAAATTTTGTCTCTACTTAGAAAGAGATATTTGCAGGGCTATGCAAGTGGACCGAATTGAACAGATCGTTCAAAGATTCAGCACATGCATTTTAGGCTGTATGGTTTCTTTCTGTGCTGAATGATTCTATATATTTTCAATACTATTGCAAAACATTAGTGCTGCTTACATAATGATGAAACACATAGGTATCAGTTTACAGTAGGGAATTACCATCCTGGTGGTTAGGATCCAAAGTCCCAATAACATAAATGTTTCTAATTTGATATTTTCACTGATTTTCAAAAATTCTTTGCAGTTTTTGCCTTCCTTAATTGCTTTGTGCTACTTACAGAGTTCATTCGGATGCATTGCACCTCCAACCCAGATTGGTGGATGCCTTCAGAAGAACAAATAAACAAAGTGTTCAGTGATGCAGTTGGGCATGCTCGCCAAGGTCGTGCTGTTGGAACTTTTCTTGGTGGCAGTGGTGGTTCCTATTATGAAGGCTATGACCCTCAAATATCACATGACGAAATGTTTAACAAGGGCTGCCATGAAGGATCTGGAGACTAAAGGACAACAGTGTTCATATATAACTGCCACGTTGGTGTAAAAAATGAATGTATATTAATCTATGGTTGTATTGGTGTTGACACCAACTAGATATGATGCAACTCAATTTTACATTAGAACATTTAATTAAAATAACATTTCCTGCAGAAGATATACCAAAAGTGACCTCAGAGGTTAACCAGCTGTGACTGTGAATAATTTGGTTTATATCCATTTTCCTGAACATTCTAAGTGTTATTCCAGGCATGGAACTGAGGAACTGTATTTAATCTGTCCAAATTCATACAAAGGAATATTATGTTTACAATGTTCAAGCCAGGTAAGGGAGAAACAGACTTTGATTTAAAATTACGTAATTTTCTACATGGATAAACTTGATCAAAACATAAAAATCAAAACATAAAATGGCTATGTCGCTGAAATTCAACGGTCTAAGCCTGGGCATCTGGGTTTTTTGCAACCTATGGAAAATTGAAATTTTTGCAATTATAATTTGTTGCTGCCCTTTTAACTGTTCCAATTGAATTATATTACTGTTTAAAGAGTTGCCAAAATAGGAGTTCAGTCTGTCATCTTTTAGATATGTGGCAATATTGTTGCCTGAATGTAGAACTTTACCGTATAGCCTATTTAAATTCAACCCTCACCACAATTTTGGTCACACACTTTAATGTGTGGCGGTTAACTGGTAGCATTTCAGAAATGTAGCAGTCTTGTCATGGGAATCAACAAGAAATGTTATTGTCTTCTGTCAGTTGTTTGGATTGCTAAAAAGCAAATTGAGGGCAGGTAAGTAGAACTGCCTACAAAAATGCTCATTTACCAAGTATCACAGACACAGGCCATGGTTATATTGCACTTTGCTTGAATACCTTCTGTCCACGTATACAAGTGCATTAATGATGAATGTTGTAGTATTTGTATTACTTGTACTAAGAGTAATTTTATCAAGGAAATGAATTTTAAAAGTAGATAGTAATTATTTTATCCCATGGAAGATGTTTCTTATATACTTTCAGATTGACTTCTGTGGTGGAAAATTACCACATCTTGTGTCTATAAAGAATTCAGTGCACTTGCTGACTAATATTATCAATAAGTATCAATAAATGTTAAAAGACATCTAGCTCATAAAATCTAGCATACATAAATAAAGCATAAAGCATCTGGCCAGAAATTAAGAGGAAGTTCCAGGTAGGGCAATATTCAACAACCCGGGGATCTCTTATCAAAACATGTGTCTTTTCTAGCTTTATATTGTTTCCCTGTGAAGAAGGGTTGATGAAATAGTTTCTGATGTGTGGTAAGTCTGTTGGTTTGTTTAAGAATGTAGCATGTTAGGGCTGTGCTGATACTTATGACATGAAGGTAACATGACGACATGGGAGAAAATCAGTAAATGCTGGAAATCTGTAATTAAAACAGACACCTAGAGAGATGCAATAGGTTCATCTATACTTGGAGATGAAAGATAAACCAATGCTTGGATTTGGTCCTTCATCTGAACTGGAACCACAATGTAGGAGATACCTATTTTTAGAACTGACCAAAAGAAAATAGGGGTGGGGCATGCAACAGGTAGCATTCAGTTCTACTAAGTGCTTTCACAAAGAGTCAGCTAATTGATTTAATAATCTATCAATGCAGCATGAAATTCTGGAAAGTGATGTAAATGTTTCACACTCAGATAATTTAAAATTTACCACGGTCTATCGATGGTCTTATAGTGTGCATACAAGGTGGCAGCCATAGGTCGATTAATGCTTCTGAGTTGGCATATAGTAGGCTGAAGTCCAACTTCAAAGACTTGAACACAAGACTTAAATGGACATATCAGGACAGTACTGATGGAGTGCTGCACTGTTAGCAGTGCCACCTTTCAGATGAAATGTTGAACTTAGGCCCCAGCTGCCATCTCAGGTGAATGTATAGGATCCCATGGCAATATTTTCAAGAACAGGAGATTTCTCCCCACTGTTTTAAGTTCAGTTGCTGTCTCCAAAAGTAGTTTACCAATGTATTTCCTTTTTTGTGCCCTCCGTGGACATTTCCAGCATTGTGTGTTAACATGAATAGAAATAGTGAACAAGGCCACAGGACATTGATGCCAGAGCCATAAAGCACTACCAAGATTTTACAAGGTGAGGATAGTGTAATCATAAGTAAAAGAACGACTGTGCCATGTGGTGTGAGTAGCAATACTCCAACAGTGGGGCACAATTAAATTATGGGTCTAATTTTCAGCCATTGATTATGAATGAATAGAAAAAAATCTGTCCTACTGAAGAAAATTTTATTTCACTGTCAATCCCATGAACAATTTTTGTTTGCCTTTCCTTTCTCTCAATTCCGATGCCCATCAAAGTGCTGTTCCCTAGACACTGGGAGTGGATTTTCCAGGATGGTCACCATTGTGTGTGAAGTGCTGTGATGATGCGCGTCACCCTCTGATGGCTCTGTCACATATTTCCGCTGCAAGGGGGCATTTCACAGGGTTGTGTACGAACCCTGACTGCCTCCCCACACCGTGGATGAGGACGGCCAGTTACAATGATCATGGAGCCGCTTGGGTCGGATTTTATGGTTGCACTGATATTTTGCTGGGAGTGGAGTTGTCTTCCCCCACCCCAACTCATGTGGAAGCCACCATCTCCATGGAGACAGCCACCATGCAGCAGGTTTGGCAGGGAGACAGCAACGCTGTCAGAGCCACCAGGAAAAGCTGCAGCATTCATTGCTGAAATGAATGTACATGGAGTGATTTCCCCTCCTCTTTGAGGAGCCTAACAGCTTTCTCCCTAATAATTTTAATTTTAAAAACAGCTCTCCAAGCTTGTATCCATGTTGGAGTGCCCTTGTGATACCCAACCTCCCTCAACAGCACATGTTGCCCCAGCACAGCTGCCAAGGCATTAGGAGCTGCCATGCCTCTGCCTGACTCAGGACACACCACCAGTAAGTGCAAGCTAAAATCCCCCATTAGCTGCCAGTATCAGGATCGAGAGATCCATGGGAAAAATCCAGCCTTTGAGTGAGTGCTTGAATATTGAACATTGAGAAGCTATTTGGCCACAGTTTCAGTCAAGCCTAACAGTCACATAGTACCCAGGTAACATTCTGGGGATCTGGGTTCAAATCCTGCCTCGGCAGATTTTGAATTCAATAAAAATCTGGAATTAAGAGCCTAATAATGACCTTGAATCCATCGCCAATCTAATGCCCTTTACGGAAGGAAACTGCCAATCTTACCTGGTCTGGCCTACATATGACTCCAGACCCAATAAATGCTGGCCGAACCAGCAACACCCACATCCCGTGAATGAACAGAGAAAAACACTTGCAGCTAGGGTTTCTGTGTAGTAATTACAGGTGGGAAACCTGACCAATTTCATCTCAATACTAGTCCAGGAAAACTCATGCAAACTATAGCACCTCCATTGGAATCCCAACAGAGATCAACTAACTATATTCTGTAACACTATATCCCGCATTCTGATCTATTACCCTGATGTACTTATGTAAGGTATGATTTGTCTGGATAGCAGTCCATGTGACAATAGTAAATTAAAACAAATCAATTAAGCACAGATCAAGGATTGAAGCCAAACATCGTTATATCATGCAGTATGCATAAATATCGAAATTAGATCAATTGACAGTATGTTTTTAGTGGGCACTCACATTCAAAGTGAACATAGGTCAGCAAGTTGGGCAACAGTAACTGACTCTCAGTCTCTGACTGGAGCTCCCAGTTGGGGACATGGAATCAGTGACAATACTCAATAGAATTAAATCACAAAGATAATATTGACATTTTAACTTTTAAAAAGTGCATCAGTTTTTAGCATGAATGTTATTCTGTAATAGTTTCTGTAATTGCAGTGCCAGGATACTTTCTGACAGGTGGTTCTGTTGGCTGTCAACACAATAGTGATTCTCTTGTATCATCAGAAAATGCTGCATTAATAACCACAAAGTGACATCACTTTCTGCCTCAGAGGGAGTTTTATTTGTTCTGCAACTGGACTGATGAAAAATATCATCCATGGGATAATTTCTAAGCATTAAGGTTGAGCACTTTTTCCTGTGTTCTTTGCGCCGTTAAAGTGGCTGGTCAGTGCAGTGAAAAGTAAACGTATATACTTGTTTGTTAATTGTGAAGGATTGGTAATGTTAGCATTCTCACACAAGTGTACTTCTCTCTGTCTTAATTACAAGCGTGCACTGATTTGGAACAGAGACTTTTTGTTACGTCTTGACTATCTTGTTTTTTAATTTGATACTGTGTTTAGGTTCCGCAGTAGCATCTATTTTATCAGGTTGCTGGTTTTAACATCAACAACACATGATAGATAGTGTACATACAGGTATATGACTTTATTGTCTCAGATTTCTGTATTTCATTTGACATATTAGGATTTTCCAGTTTTGTGGTTATGTTTTTTTAAAAAACGAGTGAACAGCAGGGGGAAGAAGTTGTACACATTTGTGATTTTGTATGTAGCAATCTAATCTGTAGTATGTGCAAACAACTGCCTTAGTAACAACTGTGACATCTCAAAAGGCAGGCAATCAGAATGACTTCATTATGAAGTTTTGTCTAATAAAGACATTGAAAACAAGTTTTGATTTTTTTTCTTATTTATTGTTTCCACCTTCACACATTTTACTTTAGTGCTTTTAGCAATTCAATCATTTGTACAGAAAACTCGGTAAGTAGTAGAACTGGAACAAAAACAGAAGTTGCTGGAAAAGCTCAGCAGGTCTGGCAGCATATGTGAAGAAAAATCAGAGTTAATGTTTCAGGTCCGGTAACCCTTGCTCATGAGTCCCCTATTGTTTGCGATACTCAAATAATATAGTTGAAAATGTGAGGGGAATGATAATTAAGTTCGCAGATGACACAAGTTTGGCCCTGTGGTGGGCAGCAAGGGGGAAGGTGTTCCGTTACAGGATATGAACAGATTGATCAGATGGGGGGGTCAGTGGCAGAAGGAATTTAACCCTGATAAGAGTGAGACAATGTGCATTGGAAGAAGGAACAAGGGAGTATTCAATGAATAGCAGTGCACTAGGAAGCTCAGAGGGATCTTGGGATGCTTCTGAGCAAGGGTCACCGGACCCAAAACGTTAACTCTGTTTTCTTCTTCACAGATGCTGCCAGGTCTGCTGAGCTTTTCCAGCAACTTTGTTTTTGTTCTTGGGATGCTTGTTCACAGATCCTTGAAGATGGCAGGACAGGTTAAAATGGTAGTTAAGAAAGCATATGGGACACTTGCCTTTTTCAGTCGTGGCATAGATTACAAGAGCCTATGATCATTTAGAGCTGTACAGAACTGTGGTTAGGCTACAGGTGTAGTATGGTGTGCAGTTCTGGACACCACCCCACAGGAAGGATGTAATTGCACTGGAGGGGGTACAAAGGAGATTACCAGGATGTTGCCTGGGATGAAGCATTTCAGCTATGAAGACAAACTTGATAAGCTCAGGTTGCTTTCTTGGGAGCAGAGAAGTTTGAGAGAGACCTGACAAAGGTGTCTAAGATAATGAGGGGCATGGTTAGGTGATTGAAAGCAGCTGTTTCACTTAGTCAAAGGGTCAGTAACAGGGGGCATAATTTTAAGTTGAAGGTTTAGAGAGGATTTGAAGAAAGATGTTGGTGTTCAGGAATGCACTGCCTGGGAAGGTAGTTGACACAGGAAACCTCAACATTTAAAAAGTACTTGGATGAACAGTTGAATTGTCATAACATTCAAGGGTAATGTAGTATAGTTTTGGCGGTACAAATTTGATAAACCTTTTCCATACTGTATGATTCTAAGCCTTCCAGCAGCTGAGGCCTTTGACACATTTGCAACTTCTAAAAGCTGATAAGTCAGCATTCTAGGTCTGCCCTAAGCTAGGTCATATAATATAGAAACC